CAAGGGAAGATCTTGAAGTGCGATCCGCCATTTGAACTGATATTGTGCTCGCCAGCAGACCCCAGCGAGACTAATAGAAGCCTATATAGTTGTGTCCCTTTTCATTGTCTTCCTCAAGTTATTAGAATATTGCTGAATCTTTTTGTCGCAGACAAGGCATTGGTGAAAAAATCAAATTACAGAATTTTAATACGAACATTTTGCCTATAGATTAGTCTTGTAGACATGAGCATGTTCTGAAAATTTCAGCCTAAAACGATGTTTTCTTTTTGAGATATTGAATACTCAAAAAAACAAACATTGTCACAGGAAAAGGGAAGAAAACGCGCTGTTTTCAACATTTAATATTTCGAGAACAACGCATCGTTTTAGGTTGAAATTCGATCCTTTAGTTGTATCCAAAAATCAAATCAAATTATAGATGTTCAGTTTCAGTTTACTGACCGTCGACGTTACCGACTCAGTTTGGTTAATGCACACTGATACAATTATGTACTGAAGCACTGAAACACACCGCTACAAAAAGAGCACATTTTGATAGAGTTGATGTCTCAATATTGCAGCAAATACGGATGTCAATGCTTCAGTGAATATCGATGTCAGTGTAATCAGTGCCCAAGTAGAGCTTGTGTCGATGACTAACTGTTTCGTATTTACACCAAAACTGCACATTTCTAAATAAAATAATCATAACTTGATAAAGAAGATCTAGAAAGCAAACTAAAATAGTCTTTCCACTATTTATAAAGATCGATCGGATGACAAGAGTCTCAAATAAAAAGAAGTTCTACTCATACATAAGAAGATTATTTCATGATAAATAGTGTATCAACACTTACTTTAGAATCTTTCCATGCTTTCATCATTGAAATATCTTTAATTTTAGGTACTGGTTTTTGAGATGATGTAGCATTATCCTCAGATTTTGAATCTGACATGATGAAAAAAATTCGAAAGTTTTAAATAATTTCACACTGAATAATTGATTTATTTAATATGAAAAATCTAAAATATAAAAACAAAATTAATTTTATTGAAAATAATACATTTTTTCAAAAACGAAAAAAAAAAAGAGCAAACATGAAATAAAATAAATAATTCTAATTTATATCACATCCATACTTTTAATCTTTCATTTCCATAATCAATTTTAAATGTATCTATATTTGTCAATCGTCCTGTTGATTGTTCAACAAGATATTGACATAAAATGTCTTTATTTGAATTAATATATTCTGATAATTGACCATACATACTAAGAACCATTAATTTTGGAAAATAATTCAAAATTAATGATATTGTATGAGATTCGATTTTTAAATTTGAATTTCGTAAATCAATACACATATGATTTACTCGAAAAAATATTCGAGCAATACAATGAATATGTTCATTAGTTAATTTTTGAATCGATGTATCTTCAAATCGAATACATAAAATAGCAATACGTTGATGAAGAAGAGAAAATAGAAAAAGTGATTGATCATCATCACTAAGTAATTTATATAAACAATCAAAATCAATAGAAATTGCAGAAAGATTAGGTGCAATTGATAAAATTTTTTCTATATAACCTGAATCAGGTGGTGTACCTTGAATAGAAAGAAAATCGAGTCGACTAAGATAAGGAAGTGCAATGGATGTGTTTTGAAGTTCTTGAATTCCTAAAACAAACAAAAACAATTATTTCATTAATCATATAGAAAACAAAAAACAAAAACTTTTACTTGATGGTAATGCTCGTATAGAAATAATCAAATCGAGAATTTGTCGACAATGTCGTACAATACCAGCAATTTCTTTTAAAGCTATTGTATCATAAACATGTAAATGACGAACTTTTCTATAAGTTTGACTATTTAAATTGGCTGACATTTGTTTATTAAATAAAGAACGAAGTGAGAGACGACTCACTTCATAGGAAACGGTATGTAAAAAAATACGTTTATCATTTTCATTTATTGAATATGCAATGGGAATAGATTTCCATGATTTAATAATATTAATTGGATCAAATTTATCATCTTTATCAGATGAATGATAACAAATACTATAACTAAATTGTTTTACATAAGAAGAAACAAGTGAAAGTACACATTGTCCATCAATCATAGAATAATCACGAGTAACAAGTACAAACGAAAAATTTTCAATAGTAGGTGAAATTTGAATCAACGTTTTTAGATCATCGAATGTCGAAAACCAACTCATAGCATAAACATTTAATTCTGTTAAATAAGAAAATATATGTTGATCAAATGAAACTTTTACCCATGGACGTTTAAATGTTAGATGAAGTTGTTCAACATTAGGAGTTATTCGAACAAGTTTTAAAAGATCATTTGTTGTTTGTAATTCAATATCTAATTGAATTATATTTGGAAAACTCATTTCACAATTTTCTTCATCGGTTAAATTCAATGCATCACATTCATGATCAAAACAAACATGTGTTAATTGATTATCATTTGTACCGAGAATTTTTCTAAGAAGATTTATATTTGTTACCGATTCAGTTAAATCAAGTGCTTGAATAAGAAGTTTATGAAAATGTTTCATTCCATGTAATGTATCAACAAATAAAATTAATTTTTCATCAGTCCAATTAACTAATGTTAATTTTTCTAAACATTGATAAGTATGATTATTTTTAAATGATTCAAAAAATAATGGTGATTCTAATTCAAATATAACTAAAGAACGAATAGATAATTCAATTTGAGGAAGAATTATTGTAAATATATGAATAAATTGCATATAAAATGTTTTATGAAGTGAAACATGTTGACGATAAAAAGCTATCGTTCGATTTAGACGAGAATTAAGACCAAAAAATGAATAGAGTACGTCACCACTATGAAGATACCGACAGATTTCTAATAGCATCTCATCAGGTAACATTTCTAATGTTGTTGGCAATAAAGACATAATTATCTAAAATAGATACAAATCAAGTAGATTAAATATTCTGGGAAAAAATCGAGATTTTTTTTGGATTGAATGAGACATTAAATTTGATTTGGATTTGTTTGATAAATCTCCATATGAGATATCAAAACTAAATATGGACAAATTAGAGCCTGGCAGTTCTAAAAAACAATAGAATCGAGAATCGAGCCGAAACTGGAAATTTTTTACTAATAACTGGTGGAGAACTATTCAATTGTTGTATAATCTAAAGTCAGAAGGATCAATCTATAATTGCACCATCAGTAAACTATCTGTATCTTTCACAATTGGATGAAAAGAAAAGTAAAAAGAAAAAGCTAAAAGTTTTATTGAGGTCTGTGAAAAATCGATCATTATCAGAAATTTAATTTTACAAATAACACATAGTTAGATACTTCGATGTGCACTTTTACCATCATTATGACTTTGAGTCATGTTCCTTGTAAAAAGCGAGGTTTTTCTCATAAAAAGACGGTTTTTCATCGAAAAAAGTCAGCTAAGTTCATGATTAGAACTAGAGATTCTACTAGCCTTATACCAAAAATGATCTTCACCAAAGAAAAACAAAGATATTTTTCTCCAAACAAAAGTTAACTTTTTTCATAACGATTTTATTGAAAATTTTTTCCACTTCATGTATGTCTCAAGACTAGCGAAAGAAGAAAATAGAAAAAAAAACTTTACTACGCGAGCCACTAGACTCCTAGTGTTTTCTATAAAACAAAAGAAAAAGAATAAATATTTTCTGTCGAGTTGGCTGAATGCCATTAGAGGTGCAATAGACACCAAAAAATGAGTGTTACAAATATACTAAAAATTAGTCTAGTTCTCACTAAAAACGCGATATAAGGTTGAAATATTCGCACCAAGTTTTAACTCGAATGTAATTCTTTATCAATAAAAAAGATTATATACCTAATTAACAGTCATCATTTTTCCATTCTTTCACTTTGTTGTTTTACCCTTTGAAAAAGTCGCTTTTTCAAAACTAATAGACATTAACAGCCTCGATAAATGAAATATAGAAATTTCTAGAAAAAATTCTATTAGTATATGACATACTATTATAAGATCGCGGGTTCCAAATATGCTTTCTAGGAATTGAAACCGGAACTGCTGGCTTCTTGGATGAATAGTATTATCACATAATGGTGCTCTTAATAAATTCTCTATGAAACAAAAAGTCACATCGGCATGTAGCATCACAAACTTCATTGTTGAGAATGATGCAAATGATAAAAGATAATAACTTATCGAATATCAACACTCGTCTAATCAATAAAAAAAAAAGTTAAATTAATTTTTCATAGTTTCATCGTTTATTAATAAACAAAAATCTTTAACAGGTCTTGTTTAATACCTACGAGAGAACGCCCTAACTGTTTAATTGCTTTTTTTCATTAAATCTAGTGGGTGTTAGTGTGGATGTGCGAGGCTCATCTGACTACTCATACGCACATTCATCCTAAGTGTAAATGACACTTATCTTTCAGGCGCATTTGTTTGAAAAAGTGAGAAAAAAAAAAGAAGGACATTTTTTTCATGTAAAAATCAGAAGAGAAAAAAAGATCTATGCTTCGGATGACTTCAGTACTGATTCTTAAACAGAAAAAAAAGTTTTTCATAATCAATTCGACGTGCTCTACAATCCGGATGGGTCAAAAAATTCTTCGATGAAAATATTTTTTCACTAGGAAAAACTGATTTTCTAGAAAATAGACCTTTGAAGTTCTAGCTACCAGTTTTGTATTTATATTCGAAATCAGCATGGTCGATTATCAATAATTCACTAGAGTTAATGAAATCGAGAGTTAGTAGGTTTTCATCGTTAGTCGGATATATGTTATATATCATAAATGACATTTTTTTTTCTTTAAACGCTAAATATAGAATTTAATGATAAAATTAAGATCTAAAAACATTAGAACGATATAAGGTTACTACTATCGCTGGTATAAAAACTTTTAAAAAAATTCTCAACAGTTAGTTAGAAAAAAAAAAGTATAACAAGAATATATAAAAATGTTCAAAAATTTTCATAGATGTATTTTTCAATATGGAATTGGTTTACCATTAAAATCTAAGAATTTTCCATTATCTTTTAATGATAATTTATCAATAGCAGATAACATACGTTGAACAGATTCAGTTTTTGTTAAGAAATGTGCATCTTTTGGAAATAATTTTTTATATTCATGTATCATTTGTGTATTAACAATACCAGGTGACATTGCAACAAATAATAATGGTTTATCATCTTTTTTTAAACCACAAATTGAATTATCATCTGTTGGTTGTCGTCCAAATTCTAAAGCTAAATTTTTTGTTGCCATATTTAATGCACATTTTGATAGACGATAAGCATACCAACCACCAACATTATTATTATTAATTGATGCAAGTTCAGCTGATATATTAACAATTAATGATGAATAAGGAGCATTTGATGATGGTGATCCGAATGATGAACGACCTCGTTTTAAAACATTAAGTAAAATTTTTGTAACTAATAATGGACCAACAACATTTACTTGATAAACATCATTTAAATCAATACTAAGAACATCATTTAATGAAGTTTCAACTCGATTTGATGGATGCCCTTTAAGAAAAACACAATAAACAAATAATTAAAAAACAAAATAAATTTAACTTTAATTTTTATTTTCTTCTTACATATATGTGCACAATTAATAAGCATATCAAGTCCTCGTTCACGTTTTAAGTCATTTAAACATTGTTCAACTTGCAATCCAAATGAATCGAATTGATCTTGATGTCGAACATCTAATTCAAGAACATCTAAACGATGAATAGAACTTTTTAAATATTCTTTTTGTAAATTAGATAAACGATCATCGTTCGTTGTTTGACATGTTGCTATAACATGAGTAGGTGCTTGACGTTTTAATAATTGTCGAACAAATTCTAATCCAATACCACTCGATGCACCTTGAATAAGTACAGTTGCTTTTGGCATTAAAATAATTTTTTTTATCTGAAAAACAAAAAAAATACAAAAGATTATTTCTCAAGTCACTTGTATATTTTTAATAAATTTTTCGTTTTCGTCCTGAAAATGGTAAACGACGAGTATTATGTACATGTTGACGACGAAGTATATCATGAATATCACATCGAATAGATGAATAATAAACTTTATCCATTAGATTAAGAAGAATTTCTTTAATAAGAAATAAACATATTTCTGCTAAACGAAGATCTTGATTTGGTGAAAATTTTTTTGATGAAATTAAATTATTTAATTTAAGCCAATGTTGAATATCAATTGATGATAATGAACGAAGATTATTGAAAGAAATATGTTGTTGTTCAACAAATGATAAATAAGCATCTGGTGTTAATGCATCACTTTTGTAATAAACATCAAGACGAGTATATTGACGAGAACGTTGACGATCTAATATTGGTGGTGTTGACTATTAAAAATAAAAATGAGCTAATTTATAGTTATGTCATAAGAATGTTAAATATCAAGAAAATTAGAAAACAATGGTATATCAATTTTCTGAAGATGTTATAGTTCTACTTTTACATACATATTTCTTTTGATGATTCAAGATTAAATTTTAAAAAAAGACTATTTTAGTTTTAGTCTAGGGCCATTTAAAGAGATGAATGTTTCAAAGAAAATAAGATTATCTTTTTTCAGATGATTGAATTAATACATAATTCATTTTGTGATAATTTTGATCTATCTCAAAATAAAGGCGATAGTTTTTTCTTTTTTAAGTTTTTAAGTCTTCACAATTTTTGATTTTCTATTTCTTCAATATAAATACATAAGAGCAATAGAGACTTTTGTATTATAATTTAAAAATAGAGAATTGCGCCCCCAGGATTTTCGCTAACAGTGACGGTGACTTCTGACCAATTTCTTGCACTTTCTAATAAAAAGTAGTCGAAAGCCACTGGACAAATTTTGAGGCATGCTAGTTCGGAATACTGCATCAAAAGTTGCTTGCTTTCAGGTTCGAAATCATCAACCTGGAGCAAGATTTTCCGGCAGAAATTATAAAAAAGAAGTCGTGGCAAATCTCAAATTGATACTAACTTTTACTAAATCTGTGGTTGCTGATTCCTGATTTTTGAAAAAAAAACTTAAGACAAATCACAGGAAAGCAGAAATCAGAGGTAAAAAAACGAAAAATATTATTTCGATGATAGTAGTATTTTCGTCGTTACAGTTACAGCGACTATTTGTTCCGCCCCAATGAGTAAGCGTTTTATTAACTGCAATTGTTTCATGAGCAACTGTTGGGCAACATCTTCTCTCAATACAAGTAACTATATAGAAGATTTTCGGTTGAAATAGAGTTATTCATATAATCATAATTAGTTTCTCCCGAATGATATAGATTTTATTGGATATGTAACAGAATTAATTTACTTTATTGTGATTATCATTAATATAAATTTGTGTTTGACGACATATTCGTTTAAATTTAACAGCAATTGTTGTTTTATTATCTTTTCCAATATTTTCAACTAATTTCTCTTGTTGTAATGTTGATCGATCTTTTGCTTGAACAAATTGTTCAAGTCGTTTAAGACGAGATTTTTTATGACGTGAAGTATATATAAGTGTACTAAGATATGATAATATATTATTATTATTATTCTGATTTGTTATTATCGATTGATTATGTTCAATAAAATAATGACGAAGTTGTTGACGACAATATTCAGTAATATAATTAACAGTATGTGATGGATAAGGATATCCATTACCATACATACGAAGACCAATATCAATTACATTATAAAATATATCTTGATCATAATTCTTTTTTGTTGACATTAGATATTTATCTATAAAAAAAAAAGAAAAAATAGTATATCTATATATCTCAATTTACAATGATTAAATAAATGAAAGAAGTAATGATATACTCTTTACTTTACTTGAATTTATATCATATTTTTTTATAAAAACATAAACATAATTATTTACAAAAGAAAAACAACGGAATTATATTATTAAAGCCAAACTTTAAATTCTAGATTATCACATTCAACTTTGAATTTATCAGTATATTCTTTCAAATAAGTATAATCTATAAGCCATTGAGATGGATTATTACGTAATTGTTCAGTTGTTGAACCACGAAATATAATTGATACTAATTGATGTGTTTTAAAATAATGAAGAAATAATAAAATTATATTTTCAATTGACATATCATTGGATATTTTATTTTCAATAATCATATGACGAATATGAATAAATACATTAGACAATTTTTCTATATTATTATTGCTTAATTCAGTTTCATCTGCTATTTGAATAGAGAGATTTTTTATACGATTTTTCAATAGTGAAATACAGGATTGATCATTTTCTTTATTGATCAATTGAACAAGAAATTTCATATCAAGAATAAGCATACATAAATTAGGTGCTACAAGCAATATTTCTTTTAAAAGATAACCATCAGATGGACAACCATCAATTGAAAACCATTGAAGTTGATTCAAACGAGGTAATGATAAGTTTGATTTATTTTCTTGTTTATCTTCAGTTATTACTATATAATAATTAAAAAACAAAACAAAACAAGATAATTCTAAATATAATTAATAAAATAAATTATTTACTTGAAGATATATCATTTATTTCTAAAGCAAGATCTTTTACTTTATTACAATAATTCATCATAACAAATATTTCAGCTAATGTTGATACATTAAATACAAGTAATTCTTTTATATAATAACAATAACCATTCATTTTTTTATTTATATATTTAATAAATAATGAATTAATATCAAGATAAGAAAAATCATATGGAATTGTATGAAGAAACATATGAGTTTTACTATCATCAAGTAAACAACAAACTGAATAAGGTGTTGATGTCCATGATGATATAATATCATCAACATATTCAATTTTTTCTTCTGGTGTATAATCAATAGCATAATTAAAATGTTTCAAAGTATTTATTGGAAGTATAGAAAGAAATAATTGTCCATTAAATAAACGAAAATCTTGAGAAAATATATCAATTGAAAGAGATTGAAGAAAAGGCATTTGTTTAAGTAATGAATTAATTTCATCAAATATCCAACATCGACGAAATGATTCTATATGAAATTGAATTAAATTATACATTATAAATTCATCAAATTGAATTATTTTATCTTGTAATTGTTTATCAATAATAATATACATCTGACGAATATTTGGTATTAATTTAAAAAGATAATGAAGATCATCTATTTTTTCTAAATGAATACTTAATTCAATTATATTTGGATAAATTATTGAATTTATTTGATTAATACTTAAACTTTCTGAATGACGATTAAAGAAAATTTTTTTTAAACGATTTTTATTAGCTGATAAAATTTTATTAAATAATGTTTGTTTATATTCTTCTGTTACATTATATCGATCATGAATTGTTAATTTATTTAAATATGGAAGATCTGATATACTTTCCATATAATCATTTAATTCATTTCCACTAAAAGCTACAAGAATAAGATGTTCAATATTTGGAAAAATTTCTTTCATTCGATGACCATAATAAAATAGAAAATGTTTAGCTAATAAATCTGTCCAATTTGCATTTATACATAATGAACGAATTGTTGAACCTATTTTAGGTAAAATATTTAAACAAATATATTCAAATTGAATAAAACTTGTTCGACGAAGTACTACATGTTGACGATAAATAAAAATAGTACGATTTAAACGACAATTTAAATTAAATAATGAATAAAGTACATCAATTGATGAGAGAAATCGACATATTTCTAAAAGTATTTCATCTGGAAGTTCTTCAAAAGTCATCTAGAAAGAAATTCTCTAAACTAGAATTCTTTTTCCGTAAAAAAAAAATTCCTAAACAGAACTAAATTTAACTCTGATTGGTTAAAAGTAACCATTAACAAAGTATTAAACCTCCGAAAGAAAATCTTTTTTTTTTGTTTTCGTTCTACATAAATAAATTATCTATTAAGAAATAAAAATGATCAAAGTTTTTAAAAAATTAATTTATTCTATATAAAAATAATTTTATTTTATTAAATTCTATTCGTTTGATTATCGGTTATCAAGAGTCAGATAAACAACGAAATAGAAAAAAAAATAAGAAAAAAAAGAAAACAGGAAAAGCAAACATATGCAAAAAAACGACCCAATCCCTTCATTTGGTGCACAATATACACCGAAAAGGGTGTATCAGAATGACGAAATATTTTACCATTCTGTCTTCTTTTCTTTACGTTTCATTGATCAGTTTTATGTATATTTTTTTCTATATACGACCTTTATTATAATACGAAGTACATATCTTTTTTTATACAGATTAATTCTTATATAATATTTCTACTTCCTGAATATAATGGGTCGAGATCGTTCACGTTCGATGTCTTCGAGTTCTTCGTAAGTTGTTTTTCTTTTCATTTAGTTTTTGAGTAACTTAATACTTTTTTGTTTTGTTTTTTAAAGTGGACGTGGTTTACAATCTACAAATTGGGATGGTGAAGCAGGTTATCGTGTTCATGTATCTGATTTAGCCGTAGGAGTTTCACGAAAAGAACTTGAACGAGCATTTGGAAAATATGGATCTATTAATGAGGTTTATTTGTTTTTCTATTTATCTAAAATAATTAATATGTTTGATTAATTAGGTATGGGTAGCCACCAACCCTCCATGTTTTGCTTTTATTAATTATAAGCATCGTAGCGATGCTGAGAAAGCTATTCGAGAGGTTGATGGAAAGTAAGAGATAAGTTGATCTTTTTGAATAGTTTGAAATCGAAATATCTTGATTTTAGAATGGTTGGTTCAACTCGTGTTGGTGTAAGTTGGGCACGTACCCGTAGATATGGTGGGCGAAATGGTGGAGGTCGTGGTGCTCCATATGGTTCCTATCGAAGTAGTCGTGGAGGTCGACGAAGATCAAGGTAAGAATATGTTAGATTTGCTTTTACATAAGTTAAATTTTTGTGGTTATTTAATCCCCAGTTTTGTATCACTTAATGCGTGGCAAAATGTGAAGCTTTGATCTTAGTACAAAAAAAAAAAAGAAACATTTTTAATGAAAATGTTTTCGTTTGAAACTAATTTCTTTTTTTTTCTCCAATTAATTTTGATTCTAGTAGCTTCGCGCATTCTCGAATGGTCTTTGATGAATCGGGTGTTATATATTGATAAGAAACTGATGATCTGTTGGTCTTTTCAGTCACATACAAATATGACTATTGGCATCGGCTCTGACTTTTTACTCTAGTGATTTGTATCAGCCATACAAAATTTTTTTTCTTTGGTTTTGAAGCAAAAAAAAAACAGATCAGGAAAAAGTTGTTTACATTTGTATGGATCTTCTTTTCGGCTTGTGGGCAAGGATGCTCGGTCAAGACGAATATTGATGGAAAGTTTTCTATTGTTAATTATTTGTCTTATTATTTGTATTTTTTTTTTCTTTTTATTTATTTCATTTAACAGAAGCCGTTCTGGAAGTGATTCACGTCATCGAAAACGCCGAAATAGTCGATCACGTTCACGAGGTATTCATTCTGTCTGTTATTTCAAAAGGATATCATCGGATCAAATCGTAAATCTGACATCCCTTTCGATCTCACTTTCAATGGAATAGAAAGATAGAACATAAAATTCAGCACATTTTATTTTTTTGCCGAATGTAAAAGAAAATTTTTTTTTTCGTGGATTAAATGGTCTTAGTAGAAGGTCTATCATTTTTGCACGTGCCGAATAATAACAATAGTAATCATAATTTTTTCTTTTGCAAACTCAATATGAAAACTAATAGTGCAGATCGTTTTAATTTTTCATCCTCTACAAAATGACATATCAATCACGTTCATTGATTAGTTTATGCTGGGTCATACAGGTACAATATCTTACCTGTGTCACCTTGTATAAATTACATCGATCTACATTATTAGTTTTCATATTTGAGTTTGCAAAAGAAAAAATTATTATGATTATTGAAAATGTCCAAACTGATTGATCCCTTAAGGCTATTTAGTCCTCAAAAAAAAAAACAAAAATAGAGAGAAATATGCAGAGTTTCATGTTCTATCTTTTTATCCGATTGAAAGTGAGATCGAAAGAGAGAGAGAGGAGCGACCAATTTACGATCTTATCCGATGATATTCTTTACTTTTATTATCTTGTTCTTCAAGATCGTTATCGTCGTCGAAGTGCTTCACCACGTGATCGTAAACGTTCGAGTCGTAAAAGTAGCGAAAAGAATGGAAATGACGATGAACGTAAAACTAATGAACCAAAATCTAAAACACCTCGATCAGCTTCACGTTCTCGATCACATTCAACTCCTCGAAAAGAATCAACAAATGATAAGAAAAAGTAAAACATAGATTTTATTTTTTTCTTTTTGTTAAAATAATATTTATTCTTCATTTGTTAGACGAAGTCCATCACGTAGTCCAAGTACTGATGCTGATAATGCCGGTTCACCTTCAGCTGCTAGAATGGATGACGATAATACTTATGAGTAAATAGAAAACCTTGCTTATACTCTTTAATTAATTAATTAATTAATTTTGTTTTTAGTGGATCACCATTGGCCACCACCGACGAATAGAGTTTTTACTACAAATTATTTTCAGTAGTAAACTAATTTCGTATACATGGATTTCTGTGGTTCTTTTTATTTTGTCATCGTTGTTTTCTATTTGTATTGCTTTTGAGTGATTTGTGAATTCTTTTTCTTTTCTCGAACGAAAAATAAAATACGGAGTGTTTGAATAATAATAAATAAATATATTATTAATTTATGTCTTTGCAGATATTTATTTTA